AACATCTACCAGACTACACAGCGCAACAACCCAGTAGACAGAAATCTTCATACTAAGAATCGCCCTGATTACGGAGGCAGTATGACCTCTGAAACTTTGGTTAACATCAACCAGACTACACAGCGCAACAACCCAGAAGAAAGAAATCTTCATACTCACCGCTGTGAAAACCTCAAATCTTACACAGCATTCAACAGGCTTCCGATAAACGTGACTTACGAATGAACTCAAGATCGTCTTGGATGTTAGGATGTAGATTAGCTGTTGATTGGAGCAACTAATCTGTCCTCTCAGGGCTATTCTCTTTCTTCCCCTCGATGTCCGAACGGGCTTCTCCCCTTCAGCCCACACACCATCTAGAGTTAAACTGTTATAAATTTTATGCGCTGTTCATGCCAGTGGGGCTACCCACACGAAGCCATAGAATTAGGAATGCAGTATCCTTGACAGGACAACCACCTTGCTCCATACTCCTGTCATTTAACAAAGTAGTCAGCCACTTATGGATTTCATCGCGAGGGATTATGAACACCAAAACAAATACGACATGTTTTCCATAAGATCATACAAGTACTGCTTAAGTGGCAGTACATGAAGGCGTGTGGGGGAATGGTGGTGAAGTCCTGTGCGTTCTTAATAACGGCACTAGTCGAAACTGAATGGACAGCTTCACGCTTAGGAGATTTTCCCTGGGAACAGGTCGTCCAGCTCGTAGGGACATTGGGTCATTTCTTGTAAGAATTATTGTGGCTTACTGACCTTTATGTAGGTACAAGAGATAATATCGTTGGATATAAAGATTTCATTGTCAGTGTTTTACAATATATGTACGTCGAATGTAAATCCTTATAAAGTAACTAATTCATATGAGGAACTCATGATTTACCCTTAGTCAGTGTGGATTCAGTGTTGGTTTGTGTGCGTTGAGAGGGAGGGGAAGAAATCCCTGTGCCCTTACCACTTCTCTTCTGTTATCATTGACGTACTTCTGGTCATCGTAGTCAGCATGGGAATCGTCGGTGTGGACATCACAATAGGTGCGTTTTGTGTAGTGTCTTGTAGTACTGTAGTAAGATAAGGCATTGTTTCCCAGCTGTTGGTCCGCGGACCGCTCCTGGTACACAAATGTATCTACTCAGTGAACTTGTATATGACTGGGTGAGGAAAAGCTGTATTTGATGTTATATACAACTGATATGCACAGTGACAATTAACGAGTCCCAGTTTTAGTCTTCATATTTATTTTATATTTTATTTAGTGTTCTGTCTGACGACAGGTCCATATGAACAGGATCCTTCCATCCTTTCCTCGGACTGGTACCTGTTCATATACGTTCTTGGCAGATGATCCAGAAGTGGTTTGCCATTGCCTTCTTCTGTGTGTGAATGAAGTAATTGTTGGGATGCCACGGAGAAACCGGGAAAGCCCCCGGAGGAAAACTCCGTGTTGCCTAGACCACGGCCTTGCCCAACACAAGTTATAAATTCGGGCACCGCCGGGAATCGAACCCGAGACCCCATATATGGAAAAATAACTCAGCAATATTATGTCATTTTCAAACGGTGTACTGTAATATCAACTATAAGGTTTACAAGAGATTTATAGATTATAATTTTTTGGAAGTTATTTAATGTCATGGTCGCGGCTGTTTTATATTCTGAGATAAGTTTCATTCGTTACGTAACACACTTATCCCCGCGCCCATACGGGATACGTTCGTGCCGTTGCTATTTGGTGCGCATTGGTTGAGGTAATACCATTTAGTCGGACCCTTCGTATTGGGTTTTTTCCTGCCTGAAGACAGAAACAAGCGCTTTCCTAATGAACGTCGCTACCGACCGATTAACACTCCTTTGTATTCTGCAGGTCTCTAGTTAAAATCTCGGCCCGGATACCGACTATCTTGACCAAGGTTTTTCATCGGTTCCTGGGATAGGAGGTCTGCCTTAAATTAGGCTACGAGTAGTTTATTTATTCCACATCTTTGAATTTCTTTATTTATTAATTGTAACATTTTATGATGTGTAATGTGAGCTATTCATGGCGTCGTTAAGAAAATCGAAAATGAATAATATCTAGATTTTTAAACGTTCCCAAATATTATCGCCGTACGAGCTGAGTATTTCCCCTCCTACGTTGTGGTACCGGCGTCTCTTTCTCGGACGGTAAAGCGGTTGGAATGTGAAGCTAAAAACTTGCCTTAATCTTTCGAATACGTGGAGCTTTAACTCCGTTCCCTTATGATTCTTAAAAGCGTGGTTCTTTAACACAGGGAAGCTGTGCAATTAAAACAGTGGAGAGAGTCAGAAGTGACCAGGGCAACGGTTTGTGCCTCAACAAAATCATATTCATCGAGTTTCTGTACGCACACACTTTGGCGGAAACGTCAGACGCTCTTTCCGCCAAGTCTGATCGAACCGTAACACACGAATTCGCTTCACGGTTGCGCTGTCAAGAAAATTCACTGTGTGTATGAGGGTGGTGCCCTCGGAGGATGTGCGCCTGTTGCTAAATATGCTCGCTGTTGTGGTTGTTTCAGGTAAGCCCGAGTAGTGTGGTAGTTGCGAGTACCTATACACCCCCACCACCTTAACCTGCCTTCGAGGGATGTTGTGTGGCGAATTCCTGAATCGAATAGGAGCTTCGCCCCTGAGCACTGTGAGTTTACTGAGCAACCCCGCATTTGGTACACGCAGTCCCTACTTCACCCTGCTCACCCTCTGCCAAGGGATGGCCGCTCTTACAGCTAACCCTACCACTGTGGACGACGATGACATCTTCCTCGGTAAGTTGATTGACCTTGTCCTAGATACCTAGATATTATACCTCATGGACGCAGTGCCGACTTCGTTTCCATGTGAGAACGGGAGAGAGAGAGGGGGGGGAGGAACGGTCCTTGTTTCCACAAATTTTTCAACCTCTGTTTGCTACGGACGCCATATTTTACTCAAGAACACCCAGCCATTTTTACTCTGAAGAACTTCGGTGAAACGTTTGCGGGCTTTTTTTTTATTATGAAACCTGCGTATTTGTGGCGTCTTATGTGAATGGAACTTTCGTTCATGGTGGCAGGGCTTTTTTGCGTAACGCCATGGAGTACAACCCTTTTTAAGATGCTAACTCATTCAAGTAGTCGATATATTCCCCACTTGTGGAACCAGAGGTTTCATTACTGTCTTTATAAGATCCCGTTACAAGTTCCTGTTCTGAGCCAGATGAATCTATTCCACGTCGCCACATTAATTCTTATTAATTAATATATACTTTTTATGGCTGTACATATATACACACGTGTGTGTGTGTATATAAGGAGGAGACAACATATGCTGTGATGACTTCGGTAGTTATTGTTTAGTACAATAATGAATTTCATTTTTCTTTTACATATTTGCCGCCTGTGTCCCCTGTTATGGAAGCTTTTCAGGGAGTCTTCTTTAGTCTTTTGTCTGCCCCATTAGTAGTACAGTTTATGCCCCCAGTATTCTTTAATCGTTGATTGATTTGCGTCTCACCGTTCGAAGTGGATGTTTGGATGCTCATTTTCATAATTGGTTAATAAATTGATTGTCAAGTTGGCAGGTTGTATGATTAGTTTATCAGTATATGCTTCTTTATTTATTTAGTTGTTTCTTTAATTAACCAATGTAGTTGGTTTCTTATCAGTTGATCAGATGTGAAAGAGACATCAGAGCTTTTTCTCAACATGATCATTTGCGTTTTGGGATTTTCGTGGTGGTTTTATGGGAACAGTAATAATCCATATAAATTAGTAAGACTGGAATTCGAACCGGATACATTATGAATGTGAGCAGTGAACTAATTGGTAACTATGCAAAGACTTTGTAGTACTTTGTATTGGTATTTTATTGACTACACTTACCCCGTATTCAAAATGAAGAGTCAAAACCTTGCTCCTTTATTTTGTAGAAACTCCCATCGATTTCAAAATAAAACATACCAGAGAAATTTTCTTTTATAAAGTTGGTTGTCAAGCGCGAGAAATATGACGCCGTGTCATGCCAGACAACTTTTAAAGTCCTCTCGGGTTATCATTACACTTTTACTGCATCTCTGCATATTGCATTTCCATCTGGCGTCATGTTGCCTGCTAAGACGTCGACTAATGGGGTTTCTCCATGACGTCATCTTGTGTGTCCCGGGATCGAGCCTAGAGGGTGGCACCATCCACCACTGGGATCAATACTTGAGACCACTGTATACCATAGGAAGCGTATGGCCTTCAGCCCAGACGCAGTCGCAGCTGCTGCCAACCGACTCCGTGAAAATCCCTCCACAGTAATAAGGCTTTCTGGAATTCAGAGTGAGCGACCAGTTTTGTACCAGTTGCGATAATTTTGTGACTCGTTACAGAAGAGTATTGTTCTCCCAGTCCGTGGTCTTACGAGGTCACTAGAAGTTCCGCTAGTTCCTGCTTTCTGAGGAATAGGCATAAATGAGAGGATAATATTAAAATCTAAAGAAATGGGATGTAAAGCTGTGAACTGTAGACCTATTTATGTGGTTCCGTATAGGAACCTTGTGGCCTCAGTAGTGAACCATTGGATGCCATAAAATGCGACGAATTTATTAACTGGCTGAGCGACTGTCAGCTTCTCAAGAAGCGCTCTGTTGCATGGAGTTAATCCTAGTTGGGATTAATAAAATAAATAAATATGTTTTCAGTCAATCTTTTCCTGCAAGGCTCATGCCATGTGTTTTTATTGCCGTTCTGATGGAAATATTTTCACATTCCTGTCCGACGTAATTAATTAACGGTCACCGACTGAATGACTTCCTTAATTTTCAGACTATTTGACTGACCAACCGCATAAGTACAGCGAGCGACAGATTAACTAGTTACCTGATTAGTTAGGCAACTGTCTTTCAGCTGTGGAACCCGAAGTTGAAAGTAGTCAATACCAAACAGCACCAACTGATATATTTCTTTATGACTCAATTGAATGTTATACACCCATCTACGCTTAGGTTTCCAAGGCGAACTCTGTTTCTTGAGTTCTCTAACTTAAGTTTTAATGCATTTATAATTTTAGCTATGCGTGCTACATGTCTCGCCCATAAATCCTCCTTGATTTTCTCAAGCTTTTGTCACATCTTCCCTGTAATAAGTTCAAATGTTCATCTCATCAACGTGTTCTCAGGCACCGTTAGTTTGTGTTTTTGCCTTAATATTGTTGCTTAGTCTCAAACATATCAGGTAAATATAAAACGTCAGTGGCATGTTTGTAAGCATCGGTTGACGTCAGGATTCATTCATGTGTATAATTTTGAATGAAATTTGTCTGTTTGCATTCTGTTTTCATCCCGCAAGGGATTTGTGCACGATTTCCTCTCGAATGATAGTCGAAGTAACAAACGTATGCAGAACGAGCTACATCTTGCGGGTTGGTTGGTTGTACTGTATATTAGGACTTCATTTCCTGATGTTGAACAGTAGGAAATTAGTATATTCCCTCGTTCGCATAGGAAATTGCAGTCAAATGATTCGTGAAGTTCGTTCCCATGAACTGTGTTCAGTTTTCAGCTTCATTAGAAGTTACGACAGTTGGTTTTCCTATTCGAAAACATGTTTGTTCGCAGTCCCAAGGATCGCATGCGATCCCAACAGGAATATCCCGCCTGCTGCACCTTTTCTTAAAGTATATTCAACCGTACACATTCCTAGAATGTGAGCTGGAATAACTCGGTCTTTTAAGTGACGAAGTTAGGCCAGTAAAAGGACTTGATTTGACCTCAGCATGTAATCATATGGTAGTCTGTTTAATGGTTATTTAGTTCTTAGTCTGCTGACAGGTTGATCGGCGCCTAATGTGTTTTATCCTTCTAACATTTCCTAACCAGTTTTGTGAATACTATGCCGACTTCTTTTCGATTGGGTCTATATCAGTTTATTATAAAATACCTTAATTTATTTTCTGGTGTAATAAACTGTGTTCAGTTCTGATTCTATTTGCTGTTGTCTTTAGTCTTATATCCCGTTGTTTCGGTATCCAGATTCCACAGCCATATTGAAGTTATGGGTTGTAATCGAGGTTATCGTTTGAGTAAATTTGGTTTTATAGTTTCCAAATTTTTAAAACTTTAATTAATTTTCAAATTGTGTCTTTTTTTCTATTTATGTGAAATTGTAAATAACAGATATGTATATATGTTGTTCCATTGAATCAGACCTAATATTACTAATGCTGCTTCTCATTGTAACTTATTCTTAAAATATCTTATGCCTACTGCAGATTTGAGTGCAGATTTAAATTTTCTAATTTTATAAAATCTCATATCGCGCTTCACGTTTGGACCCTTTTGCATCAATACGACACCCCTCCCCCGCATTTAATAATATTTACAAATAGTGCCCTTCTTCATTTAGCCTATATAGCTTGAGTGAAAGCTTTTTGTATGCGTGCGTGTATACTGAATCGGTGACAACACCTGTTTTATGCTATGCATTTGGCGTGTGTAATAGATTTTACACTTCATTGAAGTGAAACTGTAACAGCTTTTTAATTACATTAAGTTCAACCGTCTTGTCTTGCTCGCTGTATATTGCCTTCATAATTACATTACTAAGAGTTAAATGATATTATACACGTACGCTTGCTGGAGGCGAAACACTGCTTTCTGGTTTTGAAGCGTGGCCTATACGTAGAGAATTAGGTGCATGATTAAGCTGTGTTGATCAAAATCAAACATTTTATATTTAATGGACTGATGTCCCATATAAGTGCCTACACATAGGCTAAATTTCGTAATTGAGTATGCCCTGCTTAAGTCTCTGACCGTCATTAAATAATGCTTGCCACAGTTCATTCATCTTTGTCTTGTCTGCCAACATCCGTGGTAGAAAATTTGATCCTTATTGTGAAATTTTCTCAATATTCCTGTTATTTCCGCAGTCCCAAATGTCCAAATGTTCTTTTCAGAACAGTATTTTCAAAAATCTTTATTCATTCCTATAGGATATAACACGTACTGTACTTGTATGGTAATATTGTTAGGATGATTAAATCATGGAGGACATGGCGAGATCATGTGGGAGAAGTGAGAAATGCGTTCGAAATTTTGGGATAGATGTGGAAGGAAGCCAGTCTGAACTGTTTTCAGTTATCTCAGCTGTTTTCAGGAAATCCATGAAATATTTCAGAACAGCCGATATCCGAGTAGGGAATTGAATCTGTGGACTTTTATTGAAGAACTCTCCTTTTGCGCAGCATTAATTATCTTATTATTGGCATTTGTTTGTTAAAGTTAGACAAAAGTTTAATTTCTAAAGTTGTGATGGTTTAAAATATGACTAGGTTCTCGAGGCGACGAGTATGAAGATGTCTTCTGGGATGTTGCGCCGTGTAGTCTGGGTCAGTTTCTGCCAGACTACACGGCGCAGGATTTAAGGAGACGGTCGTCTAAGATGTAAGTAGTTCGTTGTTTTACATAACTCATATTTATTCCTGTATATTTGCTGTCGTAACGAATGTTCTTAATTCCTTATTCGCTATTTATCACCGGGTTTGTTATTATTTAAAACAACCTGTATTTGTTTATTTTCGTTAAATGCAGTTTGTGTTTCTGCTTTGATCTCTTATATTTTAGCTGCGATGAACCTTTCTTGTCGATTTTTTTAACGATGCTTTCAGTAGCTGATTCCGCGAGTAATTAATATGAAGAGAGCTGAGTTATCAGAAAAGCAAGGAACGCATTTGTAAAGTGTGTACTTCACTATTCCGCAACTGTTTATATATTATGAGGTTAGAAATTCTCGCCAGATACAAG